AACTCGATGTATGATTTCTGTAAAATAAAGTAAAAGATAATATAATAATAATATAAAAATAAAACAAAATAAAATCAAACCTGGAGGATGAAGAAAAAGAAGAAGAAAGGGGGAGGAGGGAAGAAGAATTCAAAAGGAAAACATAGCATACTTTCCATTTAATCTTTTTCTTCTTCAACACTTGGTCTTTTATGTGACACCCAGAAAATAAATGCGGTCTAAATCATTGTTTTTAAGGCCGGATTATAGTAATACTTCTTTAAACTTTCAGGAAGGGGATGCTAAAAGTTGAATAAAATCGAGAAAAATTCTGCTCTTGGTAATCTTTATAAAATTCCATCACGTGATCACTCATCAATTCTATCTCCTCTCGGTTATCTTATTTTATTTTATTATTATTATTTTTTTTTTTATGTAGTTAAGTTATGCTAATATAAAGGTTATATATAAAGGCCTATATTATTCTTTGATTCTTAAATTATATTTTAAAAATTTTTAAACGAATTAATTTTCTCTCTTTCGTCGAATTAATTGGCTCGAAAAAAAAAATCAGAAGAATAAGAAGAAGGAAAAAAAAAATCTGTATTTTAATCATGATTTAAATGTAAACGTATGAGCCACTTTCACCTTCAATTACGATAGCGTCTGACGTCACTTTGACGTGAGTGTTGTCGTAATCGATTTAGCCGAATACGTTATGACGTCATAAATTTTCAATTCGCCTAAACGTTTTCCACCTGTGGTAACTATTTTACTACGTGTATTTTTTTGTTTGTTTGTTTGTTTGTTTTTTAATGGCTCCTTCATCGATTTGTAAATATAATTAACGCTATCAGCGCTAGTTAAATTTAAAAGAGTGTGGAGTAAGAATTGTGTGAGAGGAGGAGGAGTATTGGAGTATAATAAGCGACCCCTCCTCCCACTCTTGTAGTTCTTGATTCGTCCTTTTATCTACTTTCGTACCTGGAAGTAGTTTGTCAGTTGCACAACATTTCCTTCGCCAGTTGAAAAAACAACATCCAGACAAACAGTCACCAGAGGTGTTGCTATAAATAACTCTTTTTCGATTTTAATTTTTATAAAGAATAATGAAATGTCACTCAAACAAGACGAAGTGTTGATTTGTTTATTTTTGAAGTAAGCAATTTTCAAAAAAGTCTTCGTAAGCTGCAATTTAGGGGATGAGAATAAAGGCAAAAAGTACTTTAAAAAATAAGAAGAAAAAAGAAAGGAAACATATTTCGGTGTGTGCTATTGGCGTAACGCACGTGACCTTATTGTCGTCCTCTTTCACGAAAAGGAACATTTAGAGAGAATTTATCAAACGAACATAATCGCAAAAGTAAAGTTGAACTTATACTGTGTGATCAATTCTGTGAGAGGTATTTTATATTTTAGTTTCCATTTTTTTTTTCTCTCTCTCTCTCTCTCTCTCTTCCTGTTCTCCTTTTCTCGTCTTATCCCGACAGAGAAAAGTTGTAAACGCAAAACGTAAGGTGCAGTAATTTGTAAAAAGTCCCATATTGTTTGTAGCAAAGGCGAGTTGACAGATCACTTTAGCCAACACAAGGACTGTGACTTCATCTTTCTCTACTCCTTGTGCTGACGTGGACAGTTGGCAGTCGTCCAGTAAAGTGGAACCCCCTGACAACCCCCAGACAGACATCGTGGCGACAGCACATTAGTGCCATATGGTGCCTTTCGGTAAGGAGTGAACTAACTCTGACCATTGTCCAAAATGTCCCCTTTGAGGTAAACTTCGGCATTCACACGCTTTTAGGTAGAAAGCATTTTTTGGGGGTGGGTTGATGTCACTTTTCTAACTTTGTAGCGAATTAGATATGTTTCGCGGAAAAGAGAATAAACAGAGAAAGACAGGAAGAGGAAGAAAGAGAGAGAGAGAGAAAGTTTTTCTTATTATTTATTTTATTTTTTATATTTATTTAGAGCGTAAGATGAAACACAAACACATCTATAACCCGTTTGCGGTTGGTATATTCGAAACTTGAATTGTCAGTAGTATATTCAATAGGAGAATAAAGCTCATTAGAATATCGTCCACTTTTATTGAAGTTCTGCGAGCCAAGATCCGTGCGTAATCGTCTATGCAATCACTGCCAGTGTCTTCATCGTTGACTTGGAGATTAAGGGGGAGAATGGTTGGCATGCAAACTGGGAAAGAGAATCTTCAGTAGATTGTTTCTGGTCTTGCCCATGAAATGTGCATTAGGTAGAGGAGAAGCCACGCGAAAACTGTGCTTTGCAAATGGCAAGTATTTTTCATATTAAAACTCTAGTCCATTTTTCATCGGGGTGACACTTTTTTGCAACAGTGAAAAGGCAAAGAGGTCCTATGCCGAATGAAAAATGACACGGTGACGGCCACCGTTCTGGGCGTTTCTTCTTCATGATACTGACGTCACGAGCTTGCGTCAGTCACCTGCATAGATGAAAGAACAAATTTACCTAATGTGTTCGTTCTTGTCAGCATTTGTTCTGACGGACGGCCGTTCTGTTAGAAAAACAACTTCCAGTAAGTGGAGTGTTTGGTTAATCGACCCGCATTAAGAATCCAACGACAGCTTGATTTACAGTTGCAACAACATATTTAAATGAAACTTCTATTTAAATCTTTATTAACGAATTAAAATTAAATCCTAATGCACTTAATGAATTTAATTCTTAGTCAAATGCCATTTAAGTCCAGCTTTTTATTCAGTTTCGGGTGTGTTTTTTTCTCGATAATTACACCTGACGTGCATTACTTTATACGTTTTTTCTCTTTTTGTTGTGGTTATTTATTGTTGCGTGGCCGAACTCGTGAGCGATTCCCTCTCTTTATTGAAAACGCAAAATCAAATTTTATATATACTTTCATATTTTATAACGTTAAAATTAAAAATAAAAAGAAAAAAAAACATTTTAAATAATCATATTTATTTTCTACTTCTAAAAAAAAATCTATAATTTGTTTTGTAAGTGCCTGGGAATTTTGATGAGTTTACACAATGACTCATTTGACTCGTTCTCATTCCCTGCGGTGCTTATTATTACTTTTAACTATTAAAACAATTTATATAANTTTAATATTATTTTTGGTGCTCTTCTTGTGTTATTGAATGTAGTGTTGTGTCACCATGTGTCACATTTACAGGTCTATTGTTATTGGTGACATATTGTTGAGCACAAATGATTAGGCTCATTGTTGACAATAACAAAGCAATTTGTAATTTATGACTTATATTATGGTTCTTTTGATAAGCTTAATTGAATTTTTTTTCCCTCCTCCTCCTCCTCATCCTCCTCCTTGTACGAGTTTGTATAAAAATGTATTTTTTCGCTGGCGTTTTGTTTGATTTTTACGGTTATTTTTGGCATTGTCGAGTGTTTCTGCGATTATTATATGTATAATTAAACGCATTGTAACTTTTGTTTACGTTATTTATTTTAATTAAAAAACTGGAAATTTTGTTGGGGAATGCGATATCCTTCAAGCTCTTTTATTGTTTCTATACATAAAGGCATGAGTGGAGTGGGACTAGCTCGATTTCCTAAATTCTTTTTTATATCTTATGTATGTTAAATATAAAGAGAGAGACGTAGCGAGATGAATATTCTTAGTAAAAAGTGTATAATGCGGCGTTTGAATAAAATCACAATTGTTTGATTGCCCAAATATTTTACCACTTTCCCTTCGTTTCGTCGTTCGATTGTCCCATCATTGCCACCGTTAATACAAACGAACGAGAAGCTAAAACGAACGTCAAAGAAAAACTTTCAGCTCCGAATCACCGAAAGGGGAATACATCCATGTGGTGTTTGATCGTCAAGTCGTGCTCATCAGTGAGCTTTGCCGTACCCAGAGGGAAGTATTGAGGGTTCTTGATGAACTGGGTTGGTGCTTGATCACGTACCTTTACAAATATGTAAGCGGCTTTCGGCAGGATCGAGGGGAGACTATTCTGTCTTGTGCAAACAGCACAGTAGAGATGGTTCCTTTTAATCCAGTTTTACATTAACTACCCATCTCTCTTTCTCTTTCACGATTATTTTGTCTCCTTGGTGATTGGAAGAGGACACTTGAATCGAGTGGGTCTATGCTAATTACACAAGCGTTTTCTGGTGATGGTCGCCGCCGCTGTAAGTCCACCCCCGTTTTAATCCCCTTTTACTATTTGTGAGCTGAAAACTTCTACTAAGTACGTTAGTTGCTTGTATCGATCGTCTGTTTGTTGTACCTACAGCCCGTCCAAAAAGATGTTTCTTTTAAGAGACAACGTGCCAGTGATTAAATAATAATAATAATAATAAATCATACTTATTATCCGGTAAGTTGATATATAACTGGTATTGTATAAAAACTAATTTTCTCCGAGTTAACGATCTCTCGTTTATCTACAGATTAGTTTAAACCGAGTTTTTGAAAGTTTAACTGTTTCCATAGAAATAATTCTATTGTCATGGATCAAGTAGGTCCAACTGTCAACCCTTAGATTGGCAGTACACAATTTTCCGTTAGCCACTAGATTGTGTCCATGTCAAAAACAGCAGGTCCTACCTGACAGATGGTCACTCCATCTAAACTTACCACTCTATCATCTTGGCTCCAATATTGCTTATATTCGGCCATCAGATTGCTGTCACCATTTGTCCTTGAAAATATTATTGTTCTCTGTAACCATTAACTCAACTAATTGTGTGTTGCCATATTGGATCGTTCAATCAACTGATTATTTCATAAAATGTATCGTTCCATTCACAAACAGATACAATTCTATAATTGGAAAGAAAAAAAAACATATAATTACAAATCGTCTCGACAAAAAAAATAAATAATATATTAATAAAAATTAAAGAAAGAAACAAAAGGTATAAAAAGTAATGATTCGCTCCAAAGATAAGAGAGAATAAAATTTACAATTTTCTCTTTCACTTCTGTACAATTTCTTCAATCGGGACCTTTTTGTAGCCTTCTGAAACAAGTTTAATGTCGTGGAGTAAAGGCCTAGTAATTTTTATATCCACTGGTACGTTAAGATCCTTTCAAGTACGAGAACTATTCGGTTTGGAGAAGTCTCGAAAAATCATCGAAGGTTTTTATTACTCGACTGAATGATTCGAGATTTTCTGAGACAATCATCTGATCAATTCAATATAAAACCTTACATTTCTTATTCTATTTTAATCCTCACTTTTTTGTTAAAAAAAAAGTAACCAAAAATAGATTTTTCAAACATTAAAATGAAGTTTTCGTCCAAGCAAAACTAATTTTAGAATATTAAGAAGAGTCAACCGTATCGATAACTTGAAACATTGTCCAAACTAGTGTATAAATGGAATATGAAAGTGTGAAACACCTCTAGCAATAAGCGAAATTAAACGGTGCATCAAACTATAGACACTCTGTTAACAACTATGACTAAGTTGAATAACAAATTATAATAGTATAACTATTGGGCAAGTGTATGAGTTATCTATACAATCATCTAATAACTTTTAATAGAAACACATACATTTAAATATAACTCAATAATTATAGTAGCTACTTTAAGAGTTCAATGTCTGTATGAAGTACAACATGTAACTAATGTTCAATAACAGACTCCTATAATAGAAATTCGATACATTCGCCCTAACTCTTATGAAAGACAATAACTTTATTACGTATTGGATAAAATATATTTAAAAAAATATTAAGTTTATTAACCAGTTATTTTTTTTTTGGTATGAGCCTGTTAGGAGCTCATACGTAAGAGTTGAAATTATTATTTTATTCTTAAATTCAAATTCTGAACAGGGTATACGGGTATGAAAACACTTAGTTATGTCATTCGCACTTCTTTCGGGTATACCTGTACAATTGTACCTAGCTTTAAATACATGAAATCCTTGTTTTAATCAATAATTCATGTTTAAAATATAAATTTTATTTTTAAAAAAATCAGTGTTATTGAATAGGAAACGACATTTCAATAAATAATTATACAAGAGAAATTTTTAAAGCAAAATATAGCAATTTCTGCCTAAGAGAGCGTACGAACGAGCGTAAGAAATTCGTAATCGACATGCTAAAAAGGAAAAAAAAAGTGTACAGAATTTTCCTAAAGAATTAATTCGAGCAAAAGAAACATAATTTTATTAACATAAGCAATCATTAGTCGGCGTCACGGTTATTTTCTCTAACAATTAAATTAAAACGATAAACAAACTATTTAATTTTTCGCTAATAATTCCCTTTCGTAAAAAGTCTACTTAATAAAAACAATTATTAACGTCTGTAAAAGTGTTAAACTTTATTAGATTAATATTATTAATTTTTATCTCATCGTTTAACATTTTATAATTTATCGGAAGATTATTATCTCCGTGTTTGGATAATTAGATCGTTTAATTATCATTAAAGAAACAAATCTTATTGTTTCAATGATTTATGGGTTAAGTTATTAATTTTATTTTATATTTAACTGTTTCGCTTTTTTTTATTTTTCCCCTTTTTCTTTTCTTCTTCTTCATCTTCTTCTTGCCCCCTTTCTTTTTTGAATGATAATCTTTCAATCTTTTGTTTCTATATTTTTCTTCTTTAGTAACTATTAGAATTCTTAAAATTCTTTCACTTTTTGAAATTTTCTTTTGAAACAGAAATTAATCTTTCTTGTTTCGTTTAGAATAATTTATTTATTATTTTCTAACACATTCTTCTACTTCTTCTTCCTTTCCTTCCTTTTGTTTACTGTTAGAATCATGATTTTGTTCCCTTATAAACAATAAACGATTTTATTCCTTTTTTTTTTCTTTTTTTAATTTTAATTTAATGCATTATTTATATATTTACAATTTCGCAATACACTCTTCTACTTCTTCCTTCTTTCGTCCCTTTGTTTACTATTAGATTCATGAATTTGTTTCCATGTAAACAGAAAACAACTTCCTTTTTCTGTCTTTATTTTTAAAATATATATTAAAATCATTTTGTTTTCTTGTTTATCATAATTGAATACTGTATATTCTTTTCTAATAGGTACAACGTTCTTCTCCTACTCCTTTCTACTTCCCTCCCTTTGTTCGGTATTAGAATCAGGACTTTCTTCCTTATAGATTGTAAATGATTTAGATTTTTAAACTATAAAATCAATTTTATTTCACACTTCTTTCTTTTTTTTTAATATATTTAATACTTTATAACACATTCTTCTACTACTAACTCTCTCTCTCTCTCTCCATCCTCCCTTTGTTCACTGTTAGAATCAGGATTTTGTTCCTTTCTTTATTTTAATTTAAAAATTGTTTTCCTTCACTTCTTTTTCATTTTTAAATTTTATTTTACAGAAATTACTATTTTAATCTATTATTCCTTACAAGCATACATTTTTGAAAAGGACTTTTTAATCTTTCATTCTTTCTACTTTTGAAACACAGATTTTTGACTTTGTAATCTCTATTTCTTTTACTTCTTTAACAAATATGTTCATGCTATGTTATTATTATTTTTTTTTCCTCTTTCTTTTTTCTTTCTTTTAAAGCATAAATTGGCTCCTTAAAATTCTTTACATTTGAAAACATTTTATAATAATTTCCTTTTCTTTGAAACAAAAGAAATGTTTGATGTTATAGACATACATTGCTTTGTATAAATCTTTCAACCTTTTTATTTTCCTTAAAATGTATATATTTTCTAATATTTTTGCCACATATTTTTCTCTCGTTTGTGCAAAAAGCAAATAGAATGATTAATATTAAATAAAATTAAATTAGAAAATTGTTTTAATTCTTAATACAGTATATGTAGTCCTTGAATGAAATTATTATATTAAATGATTTTAAAATTGAATTTTGTTTTTAATTTATCGAATTAGTAAATTATTAAATGAATAAATTCCGAAAGAGAAATTAAAATTTATAAATTTTTAAAGATTTTTTCTAATTATTAAATGCATTTTCAAATAGAAAACGATATCAAAAATCTCATATTTTCTTTTGAATTTCTCTAATATAAAATTTAATCTGTAAATTTTGCAAAATTATCGAAGGTGATAATTCAAATAAAATATATTTCTTTCTCTTGTTTCAGAAATTATAATTAATTATTGCCAGTTACTATTACATTATAGGTTATAAGACTGGAGATATTTAAACCCATTACGGGTGGGTTTGACTCTTTGAATTTCAATGGGGTCTAGGATCGCATTAAAGGGATGTAGAATGATTAAATTCATATATTATGCAGTTTAAATTGGGTTCGAATATAGCAGTTAAAAACCTGGTGTTTTATCGTCGTTTAAAAGTCTCGATATAACGTAAATTTTCGTGTTTATTTTACATTTTCTCTTAATTTTACACTATCTTAAATGCATTGTTAACGTGTCATATAAACTATTTCTGACTTTAATCACTCTTATTATTGTTTAATCTAACGTTTTTACTGTTTTAAACTGTATTTACTTTTAATTAGCATCTAATTTTCCTCGAAAAATCCTTTAAATTCGAAGTAATACAATGTATATTTTATATAAAACCTTCTAAACTGATATAAAATGTAATCCTATATATTTATTATGTCTAGTGTAAAAAAGAAAAAAAAATGAAAAATTCCAATTTTATTTTCATATTTTTCTTCCTAATCTCTTGACAAAGGTTTGCCATTTAACGCCAATTTTATTCTTATAATTTAACTAAATTCAAACTTAGTATAAATATATTTTAATAATTCATTTTTTTTAAAAAAATTCCAAGCATTTAATACAAATTAATATATATATATAAGATTTATACAAAGCTTTATATATATAAGTTATACGTTTAAAAAACAATTATAAATTTTTCTTTTGTTGTAGAAAGTGATACTGAGCTATAAATGTGTTATGGGGGGAAAAAAAGTAAAAAATGAAGGAGCGAGATAAAAATAAAAAAAAAAAACAGTCAAAAATCTTCTTTCCTGTTTGATTGACGATCTCGGCATATTTGAAAAATTGACTTTAAAGAAATAATTTAAAGAATGAAAAAATTAATGGAAGAAAAGATTTCTCAAATTTGAATAATTGTTCTTTTTCTCACGAATTAATTTTTTCCGCTATTGTTTTCTTTTCCCTATTTCTTTTATTATTTATTTGTCCTCAAGCTTTCCCTCCCTTTAAATACATTTTTGTTAACAGCTGATATCACGTGGTCTTATATATATATATATATAACCCCGTGATATTTGAATAAATTTAAAAATTATATATATTTCTAACAATACATTTACTTACTCGATTCTTAATTACTATATTCTAGAAGATATTACTTAACTCTTAATTGCTGAATCCTTAATTACTGTTGTATGCCAACATATCTTGGGGGTACTTTTATGAAAAGTTAAAATAATTAAAACTTTTATTCATCCGAACGTAACTCGATGTATGATTTCTGTAAAATAAAGTAAAAGATAATATAATAATAATATAAAAATAAAACAAAATAAAATCAAACCTGGAGGATGAAGAAAAAGAAGAAGAAAGGGGGAGGAGGGAAGAAGAATTCAAAAGGAAAACATAGCATACTTTCCATTTAATCTTTTTCTTCTTCAACACTTGGTCTTTTATGTGACACCCAGAAAATAAATGCGGTCTAAATCATTGTTTTTAAGGCCGGATTATAGTAATACTTCTTTAAACTTTCAGGAAGGGGATGCTAAAAGTTGAATAAAATCGAGAAAAATTCTGCTCTTGGTAATCTTTATAAAATTCCATCACGTGATCACTCATCAATTCTATCTCCTCTCGGTTATCTTATTTTATTTTATTATTATTATTATTTTTTTTATGTAGTTAAGTTATGCTAATATAAAGGTTATATATAAAGGCCTATATTATTCTTTGATTCTTAAATTATATTTTAAAAATTTTTAAACGAATTAATTTTCTCTCTTTCGTCGAATTAATTGGCTCGAAAAAAATCAGAAGAATAAGAAGAAGAAGGAAAAAAAAATCTGTATTTTAATCATGATTTAAATGTAAACGTATGAGCCACTTTCACCTTCAATTACGATAGCGTCTGACGTCACTTTGACGTGAGTGTTGTCGTAATCGATTTAGCCGAATACGTTATGACGTCATAAATTTTCAATTCGCCTAAACGTTTTCCACCTGTGGTAACTATTTTACTACGTGTATTTTTTTGTTTGTTTGTTTGTTTGTTTTTTAATGGCTCCTTCATCGATTTGTAAATATAATTAACGCTATCAGCGCTAGTTAAATTTAAAAGAGTGTGGAGTAAGAATTGTGTGAGAGGAGGAGGAGTATTGGAGTATAATAAGCGACCCCTCCTCCCACTCTTGTAGTTCTTGATTCGTCCTTTTATCTACTTTCGTACCTGGAAGTAGTTTGTCAGTTGCACAACATTTCCTTCGCCAGTTGAAAAAACAACATCCAGACAAACAGTCACCAGAGGTGTTGCTATAAATAACTCTTTTTCGATTTTAATTTTTATAAAGAATAATGAAATGTCACTCAAACAAGACGAAGTGTTGATTTGTTTATTTTTGAAGTAAGCAATTTTCAAAAAAGTCTTCGTAAGCTGCAATTTAGGGGATGAGAATAAAGGCAAAAAGTACTTTAAAAAATAAGAAGAAAAAAGAAAGGAAACATATTTCGGTGTGTGCTATTGGCGTAACGCACGTGACCTTATTGTCGTCCTCTTTCACGAAAAGGAACATTTAGAGAGAATTTATCAAACGAACATAATCGCAAAAGTAAAGTTGAACTTATACTGTGTGATCAATTCTGTGAGAGGTATTTTATATTTTAGTTTCCATTTTTTTTTTCTCTCTCTCTCTCTCTCTCTCTTCCTGTTCTCCTTTTCTCGTCTTATCCCGACAGAGAAAAGTTGTAAACGCAAAACGTAAGGTGCAGTAATTTGTAAAAAGTCCCATATTGTTTGTAGCAAAGGCGAGTTGACAGATCACTTTAGCCAACACAAGGACTGTGACTTCATCTTTCTCTACTCCTTGTGCTGACGTGGACAGTTGGCAGTCGTCCAGTAAAGTGGAACCCCCTGACAACCCCCAGACAGACATCGTGGCGACAGCACATTAGTGCCATATGGTGCCTTTCGGTAAGGAGTGAACTAACTCTGACCATTGTCCAAAATGTCCCCTTTGAGGTAAACTTCGGCATTCACACGCTTTTAGGTAGAAAGCATTTTTTGGGGGTGGGTTGATGTCACTTTTCTAACTTTGTAGCGAATTAGATATGTTTCGCGGAAAAGAGAATAAACAGAGAAAGACAGGAAGAGGAAGAAAGAGAGAGAGAGAGAAAGTTTTTCTTATTATTTATTTTATTTTTTATATTTATTTAGAGCGTAAGATGAAACACAAACACATCTATAACCCGTTTGCGGTTGGTATATTCGAAACTTGAATTGTCAGTAGTATATTCAATAGGAGAATAAAGCTCATTAGAATATCGTCCACTTTTATTGAAGTTCTGCGAGCCAAGATCCGTGCGTAATCGTCTATGCAATCACTGCCAGTGTCTTCATCGTTGACTTGGAGATTAAGGGGGAGAATGGTTGGCATGCAAACTGGGAAAGAGAATCTTCAGTAGATTGTTTCTGGTCTTGCCCATGAAATGTGCATTAGGTAGAGGAGAAGCCACGCGAAAACTGTGCTTTGCAAATGGCAAGTATTTTTCATATTAAAACTCTAGTCCATTTTTCATCGGGGTGACACTTTTTTGCAACAGTGAAAAGGCAAAGAGGTCCTATGCCGAATGAAAAATGACACGGTGACGGCCACCGTTCTGGGCGTTTCTTCTTCATGATACTGACGTCACGAGCTTGCGTCAGTCACCTGCATAGATGAAAGAACAAATTTACCTAATGTGTTCGTTCTTGTCAGCATTTGTTCTGACGGACGGCCGTTCTGTTAGAAAAACAACTTCCAGTAAGTGGAGTGTTTGGTTAATCGACCCGCATTAAGAATCCAACGACAGCTTGATTTACAGTTGCAACAACATATTTAAATGAAACTTCTATTTAAATCTTTATTAACGAATTAAAATTAAATCCTAATGCACTTAATGAATTTAATTCTTAGTCAAATGCCATTTAAGTCCAGCTTTTTATTCAGTTTCGGGTGTGTTTTTTTCTCGATAATTACACCTGACGTGCATTACTTTATACGTTTTTTCTCTTTTTGTTGTGGTTATTTATTGTTGCGTGGCCGAACTCGTGAGCGATTCCCTCTCTTTATTGAAAACGCAAAATCAAATTTTATATATACTTTCATATTTTATAACGTTAAAATTAAAAATAAAAAGAAAAAAAAACATTTTAAATAATCATATTTATTTTCTACTTCTAAAAAAAAATCTATAATTTGTTTTGTAAGTGCCTGGGAATTTTGATGAGTTTACACAATGACTCATTTGACTCGTTCTCATTCCCTGCGGTGCTTATTATTACTTTTAACTATTAAAACAATTTATATAATTTCTTAAGTATTGAAAAAAATTGATTTTTGTTTATAGTTTTTTTTTCCAGCATACAAAAGCTTCATTGTAGCAAGGGGTTGTTTTTCTCCGTTTAACCAGATGACCGCAATATCTCAAGTGCTTGTTTGTTGCTTCGTCGTGTTACTATAGTAACGGTACTAGTGCAGCATGATCTGTCACGTGGCTACATGAGATTAAACAGGTGTTTTGTTCGTCCTCTTTAGACAGGTGGAACCCGATTTTCTCTGAAACTCTGCTTAAAAATACATTAAAAATATATATATATATTTGTATCCGTTGGTTGAAGCTTAAAAAGGTATAACGTGAATAGGCATTAAATTTTAATTGTTATTATTAATCCGAAGCCTTTTCGCCTTTAGAAAATAAAAAGAATTTGTTTAGATATTCGCTAAATCTGTTGCTTTTTTAGTAGAGAAAAAAAAGGGCGAGACTCTTAAAAAAGTCGTTAGGATGAAAAAACATAGCATGAGTTTAAGGAAGATTCTCTTATGGGTATGTAACTATCCATCACGAGCAATTGACAAACTGCAAGGTCATGATTACTTTTCTTATATGCATCGATCATTAATTGGATAGTCTGAGGTCATATTGATTAATTAATCCAAACAAGTTTGCATATAAGAGAACGGAAAGACGAAAAGAAAGGTTTTCGGATGCGGACCTAAACATCTGGTGTTTGGGCTTGCTATAGCTGTGGCTGGATCTTTAATGAAACTCTGGATGATGGATTTGAGTTTGATGGAGTAGGAGATCGGGACGAAACAGAAACGAGGAAAGAAAATATACCAGTTTACAATAAACGTAACTTTGATAATATTAAAACACAACAAAATGGAGCTTTTTACGGGAGAGCATTTTTGCCTTTATGGTATAATGTGATTCATTTATAAGGAGTTTTTCGTTAAATTTATGTCCCGATTAAGGGAGGCCTTTTTAAAAGTTTTATGTTTAAAGAAGAAAAATCGTTCATTATAATAATAATTTGTTACTGAATGCTTAAGAATCGGGTTAAAGACGGAATGATAGAACTGATAGTTATTCTAAGAAACAATATTCCATCAGAAGAAAGTTTCAATGGAAGAATTTGATGCTGGAGAGTAATTTAGCTGACACAAGAACAGAGAGAGAAGACACAATAAAGAAAAAACGATAGGAAACAAAAGTATAGGGGTGACACTTCAAAATTTCTGACATCTCATCTACTTTCTTTGTCACCGGAAGTTTTCTTCAGACTAAGTGGCCAGCCACTGGATGTTATTAATGTTCCTTAGGGATGCAGCAATTGTTCACTCCAATGCACCGATCCCCATTCAATCAGGAGCAATTTTTGAGAGACGACATGTCAAGAGGTGTTGCTGGATTACAGGCCTGAGATGATGAATGCCTCTGCTTCCTTGCTCCCATTGCGCTTTGCCCTAACAATTACAGCAGCATCTCGAATAGCTCGGACGCCTTTAGGCAAATCTCGCTTCGGATTTTTTCTCTTCTTGTTTTTTCTCTATTCGCCATTATTCCCCTTTATCCATCCCCCTAACCTAACAAACGCAGACGTTGTACCTGGTTATTCCATACGTGGCTTTCCTGATAGCGGCGATTTTCCGTTCCTTACTTGTACCGATCATCAACTCTGTACCTCAGATGATTTGAGGTAACCAAGCCGTTCAACCGCGGAGATGAACATGAAAGAACCCCATTCATCAGCATTAAGAAAGATAAATGAATTGTTAAGGTACTGTTCAAGGCGAACTGTCAAGATAAAACTGTGCAACGGTCGACCGATGTCGGTAAGTTTCCTGCCGCCAGAGATGAGAGGGGAAAAGTGATTTATGTGCAGACATATGCGACATTTAGAAGACATGGTCACAGCGATTGTGCATGATTTTCTTCTTTTGTGACTCCGATGACTGCCCTCGACCATTTAAATGCTGCTAATTCCAAGCATTCAGGAGAAGGGTTGATACGCTTGAACAACTTCCGTACGGTATTGACCAGATAGACAATATATCAACATTTGGCCAGCCAAGTCGAACTTCTTTGTTATTTCCTCCCCCTAAGTCAAACTTAAATTCTCTCTATATATATGCCTGATGTAGTAGTTGGATACACAAAAACTCCCATCGCTCATTCCATCATTCAAATATTGCTACTTATTGTTTTTCAAGCAAAATAATATTTTTATTCCCTAAAAGAAAACCAAAAGAGAACGGCACAAACGTAAACAACCTTTCAAACTACAATGTGATAAAAGATAAGCTTATAAAACCTATAGGCCTACTACAGGCAACAAAATAATAAATTTAACATTACAGTTTTCCTACGTTTATTGTTCATAGCAGATTATAAAAATACTTATGCATATAAATATAATGCAAAAAGAATTACGTATGTAGAAGCTTGTGTGAATAGAAAGGGAAAATTCTGTGCCAGAGAAACATGTCTCCATAATAGAGATCACGAATAAATCTCACATCCCCACTTTCTGCCCCCTTCCCACCGGTAACCTGTGCACCAGCCATCCGTTTCCTGAATTTTGGCAATGTTCCAACGCCAGCCCGGTAACTGTGGCTGAAAAGACCTTCAACCAGGTCATTGCAAATAAGGACACATCTCTTCACACAATCCTATTGTTAATTGGATAGCATCGCTACCATATAGATCCGTAATATTCTATCGAGTCGTCGCAGTTATCAGAAAAATTTACGATTAAAATAAAGTAAAAGACTTCATGCTGATTTCTCTCCACTACAACTGTCGTCACGAAAATGTCATCGTTGAGTAATATTATTATATACTTTTTTTTTTCATTATTATTATTATTCCTATTCCTTTCTCCCATCTTCTTTTTCCCTTCACATAATCTCTATTTGGTGATTTACACAGCTTTTGCACAGAAAATAGATGAATGTCACATTAGGCTATACGTCATTTTTAGATGATAAAATGGCGCAGGTCTTTGTGAGGTGTTCCACTTACGGTTGTGTGAAACGTTTGACGCCTTTGTGACTGGAACGGAAATGATGGGATATACCAGACAACACTGTTGATGTCAAATTGACAATTGTGAATATATGTTACCGTATAATCAAGTAAAATCGTCCCTACTTGAATTAAGCTTTATAATACGTGAATAATAAAGTGACGATCGATACAATTAATTTGGACAAGTTTACTAACATTAGCCTATCCGTAAATTTGTCCAGATGACTGTTATCTTAATCTATCAACAACTTAGCTTACTCCAAGGTGTCAGGTATCGATAACCAATAAAATATATAACCGTGACACTGTTTGAAGAGTTTTGTCTTTCTATACTTGCTCTTTTTTTTATATGCTTTTAACGGTTCGTCTTTTTTTTTTCCTATTAAATAATTTAATTACGCTTTTCCTCGGGAGGCAGTTTATAAATTAAATATTTGTCTACTCTTTTCTGTTGAAGGTTTAGATTTGATTTCTTACCGAGGATTACTTATCACTTAAAAGTGACTCTTCTCATCACCGGTCGAAATTTAGCTTTAGAAGTATGAATACTTCTCTTCAAAAAAACGCCATTCTAATTAAAAAATCAACGTGTGTTTTTTTTATTATTAAATGACTCTTTAAACGATTACTAAGTGATCTTTGCCATTAATAGTTATTAATCTTTGTTATTTGTTTAACTAAAACTAATGTAGATAAACTAATAATGTATGTGTACACTTATCTATACGTGTGTATACAGAGAGAAAGCTAGATGCTCACCTCCCGCTAGAAAGATGTAAAAGGAGATGAATCTGGGAATGATTATTATATAGAGTATGGTACAGGGGACCGTAACTCTTAATAAATTCCGAGATTTGTTAAAAGGCCTGGGGGGCCTATGACGTTTAACACGAGTGTTACACGCAAGAATTTGGCCCGGGAAGTTGTTTACATCATTGTTTAATAAGATACTCGAATGAAAAGTGAAATATACTTCAAAATATAGGCTAAGAGTTTCAAATAGATTATTTCTCTATTAAATTTGGAATTTAAAATCACTCTCAATATTACTATTAATAATTTTTAATTATCTCAATAATTATAATATTATTTTAAACTATATAAAAGTCTTTTGTAGATGGGAAAGATAATTCATAAATGTGTTCTGAAAGTTTGTAAATAAATAAATAAAAATACTTTACGGCATCACCCAAAATTTTATACAAAGAAGAACAGAACTAAATGGAAAAAAAAGAGTACTTTACTCGAGATTTTTAACTTAAAGAGTAGAGTCTATCGCCTCGAAGGAATTAATTACGCTTGCAGGAATCTTATTTTCTATTGAAAAGTATTATTGTGGAATATTTTAACTTTTCTTTTCATCAAATGTATTCATTTAAAGTATCGATCCGACTTTACTCCAAACAAAAAAAAAAAGCATTAATTCCTTTTTAAATACCGAAACGAAACTATTTTGGAATTTCTAAAAAATTCAATTAGAAAAAGTTTCATATTATTTATATCAGATTCTTCAATATTTAATTTAAAAGATGCTACTGATTTTCATATTTGTAAACATTTCGCTATAATTAAACACGAGTCGAGGGATTAGAAATCATATATATATATTGTTTTCTTCTCTCGCCCGGGCAATTCTCTGATAGGAAAGGTAGAAAATTGAGTATCCCCGAAGCGAAAAATAATATCTTAATGACGTGCCTCCATCTAGGTGTACAAACAAGCACTAAAAATGGGCATTAAAAACCGAAAATATTTTATGATTATTCATCAGAAACTAAAATTATTCTCTCTCTCTCTCTTTCTCTTTTTTAAATAATAATAATAATAATAATTGATGAAGTTTATTTTATTATATAATCATTTTCGTATATTGTTGTGTAAATTTTTCAACAATTATTACGTAATTTAGGTGTTTATTTCTCTGAAAAAAACATATATTATGTATCTTATTCGGTGGATAAATCCTATAATTTCTTCAGGAGTTATTGTGTAAAGCTGAGAGTATATATTCTTAGAATATTGTTGTGNTTCTCTGAAAAAAACATATATTATGTATCTTATTCGGTGGATAAATCCTATAATTTCTTCAGGAGTTATTGTGTAAAGCTGAGAGTATATATTCTTAGAATATTGTTGTGTAATTTCTTCAAAATTTATTATGTGACGTCTTAAAAAAATGATGCGTTGTCTTTTTTAGAAAACTAATTTTACTCCTATTCAAAAACCTGACAATAATTTCTAAAGAAGTTTATGAAAAGCATCATTTTTTGAAGGTTACATAATAATTTTTAAAAGGATCTTATATAATAATTGTCTATCATCGTAAATCTCATAATTCAATGGTACTCACTTGATGATTGCTCAGTATCAAAAGCATTTCTATTCTTTACCCCGTGTTAATACGATTCTTGTTATGATGTCTTCTTGATTGCTGTTATCATTCTTTTAAACGATGTGCACGATAACACTCTTCAGTCTTTATCTATGATTATATATCATTAGGCTTTGCTTTGTGGATGACTTGCTTTTGTTTCGTGCTAAAGTAACTTATTACTTGCAATTCTTAGTAGCCTGAAATGAAACATGATGATTAAAAAAAAAAAATTTAAGAAACTTATATTAATTGTTGTTTGCTTAACATTTAATTCGAGGTGATTCTTAATTAACACTATAGATGATCTTAATTAAGTTGCTGCAATAAATTAGCAGTAAGTTACTGGTTATAATTAGATACTATCACGTTTAAAATCGCCGTACGAATTGAAGTGACGGTTTGTTTTTTACGTGTAGTTTCCTGGTTTTCTATAATTTTAAATTTTATATAATATTCACGTTATAACTTAGAACCAGGTATTAAAGAAATAACGGGGTTAAGATGCTTCTTAACCCCATTATTTCCTAGCGCTTTCAATTAGCAAATGGTTAAATGAGGAAAGGTAGGCCTACATTTATAGATCTATAAATCGATTCTAGTGTGTTATTTCTGAATAGTCGTTTAGCCTTTCCTTAAGATAGCATAAGAAAAACAGCAGTTTAATTATCCTAAATAAAATAAATTCTCTACTTAAGTGTTTAGCACGAAAACAAGCTTTTAATTAGACTAAATAGAATAAATCCTCTCCTTATCACGGTATAGTAATGAAAACAAGAGTTTAATTAACAGAAGAAATTCTTGAGTATACAAACTTAAGAACTAAGAGAAGTACAAAAGCAAAATTTTAAAGAAAACTTTAGAATCTTAAACGGGATTCACGCAAAAAGGGATATGCTGAACACGCTCTTCTTGTGATTAGTGAAGAATAATCACTAGAAGAGCGTGTACTGTATATTAAATTATAAACATGTCCGTATATATTCCTTACCTAAATAGCACACATCAATGAATAATACTTCTAAGATATTGTCGAAAGTTCTAAATTCCTCACAATCTTTTTAAAAGATAAAGCATGTGTCTGAAAAACCATCGATCGAAAATCGTTACAAATTATAGAAAATTATTTCTTGAAGTAGAATCCTTGATTCTTTGCTTTTATCTATATTAGTTCGGCTTTTTCGATAATTCGATATCAACAGTTTTACATCTGAAGCGTAAACGATGACAAGTATCTTAACATTTTTTTTTTTTATTTCTTTCAATTCTTGTCTTTATGTATTATTCTGAATTTCGTGATTACTTTAAAATAATTCCTGTATTCAATTTGTATGATCAAATTTATTACAAAATCTTTACGCTTGACAAAACGATTCTAACACTCCTTAACTAGTCACTAATAAGTGGTCCAGATGTTCGTCTTGCAGATCGTATCACAGTGGGATGTGTTTTGAATTCTTTCGTTCTTCGTGAAGAAGCATTGTGACTTTGTCATCAATAGTTCAGACATAATGTGTGATTCACGTAGGTTCTTCAATGAAACATTCTTTCACTGTAACTCAATTCAAAACACGCATCCTACTGTGCTAGATCTGCAAGGCGAACATCTGGAGAGCTAAGTGTTTGATTAAAAGTATTTCTTTTCGGTTTCGGGACTTTATTATTATATCCTGTCGTGTAATAATAAGATAAAGTAGACACGCGAGAGTGATGTCAGTTATATTAAAAACAATACTTAATATTTATGAAAAAATATTGTTTTTTTTGTGGTATTTAAGAACGAAACAATT